TATATATATATATATAGAGAGAGAGAGAGAGAGAGAGAGAGAGAGAGAAGGGATCAAATCAAATGCAAACCTCCCTATTTATACAAACCCTATTCAATTAGTCATAAATTTTCTTCTTTTTTTTCACTTTTTTTATTATAAGGGTTGATTAGACATTTTTATCGTGGAAGACATTAATTATAGACATTATCATTTTTACTATATTAATTTTAGAAAACAAATTACATTAAAATAAGAAATACATGAAATAATTTCATTTTTACATATAAATAAAAATATATGAAACAATTTCATCAAGAAAAAAAATTATATGAAACAATTTTATCAAAAAAATAATTATATGAAACAATTTTATCAAAAAAAAAAAAAGAATTATATGAAACAATTTAATCAGATTAAACAATTTCATTAAATTAAACAATGAAATCAACGTGCAATGATCGTTTATACGGTTTGTATAAATGACTTGGTTTACTAAAATAAACCACCCTATATATAGACGGTGGTAGTGTCACTTTGACTAAAGACTGTTTACATTTTCATAAGCACACTTTTTTCACTCCTATTATCATTTCTCATTTTCCTTCAAAAATAAATAAGCATAATGGTCCGATTCTAGAAAAACCCTGCAAATGTAAAAATGAAAGAGAATGTCATCTTAAGAATGAAGAATTAGATGAGTATTTAGAAGAAAATACATTATGAAGAAGACTGTCTTTTAAATTATGATCTCTAGAATTTGTAACAAATGAGAAGTTATATGCGACTCTAGTTACAGAATCCGATATAGACAATTTAGTCTCTCAATTGAAAAAAAATAGGAATAATTGGAGAAGACATCATCAAATATTGTGAAAAATACAATATTTTACATGGGGTTGAAAAAAATACATAATAAAGATTGTCATCGTCTAAGGAGAGTACCAAATAGTATTTATGTTCCTATAAAACCTTGAATCATCTGGTACCGGGTACCCCTCGCATTGGTATCAGAGCAATATTTACAATCGTCTTTAATTTCTGCCTAGTTAAATTTCCTACTTATTTGTTGTTGTATTTGTTTTAATTTATCTAGATTTTTGTTTAAAATAATTAATATATGTATATATATCTATGTTATATTATAAAGCATTTGACAAAAAACTCTTAAAAACCATTTTTTATGTATTAAGTACTATTTATTGATACATATTACTTAAAATTCAATATTACATGTAAATTGTGCGTATGTACAACTTATTAAAGCTTCATGTTTAAATTCGTGTAACTAACTGCAGATAAACATAATCAAATATTAGATAAGTATCTCATTTTAAATATAAAAAATCTAAAATATATTTAAGATAATAATTGAATTCCAACAAAATGCTAATTATTGTCTTTATAAAAATATATATTATTAAACGAAAAATAAATGGCTTCATTATTAAATCTACATTAAATTATAACAAAAAAACACAATAACTTTTAAATATTTAACTTGATACTAAAGTCGATACATTTTCTTTTTCAAGATTTTATAATATTTTCAAATTCATATTTTATTCAAAAAATAAAAACATTATCGTTTTTTCAGTACCACATAAAATTGTATTATAACATCGACAAAGACAGAATAAAATGAAACATTAAAATTGAGATGTATCACGTTGGATTGTGCGGGTACTCTTCTAGTGTGTGTGTGTATATATATATATATATATATATATATTGTTGCACCTTTTGTTTGTGGGGTTATATTCTAGCAAACCATTTTTCTCATTTATTAATTTATTGAAACGTCTCAAATTTAAATTTAATTTGTTTAAGAATTTGATGGATATAACTTAATTAATATTAATAAAGGAATAAGACTATATATTTAATAAACATGTTCCTTTCAAATTATAATATTCAATACGATGTTAATATATTTTAAGGGAAGAATTAATTTGGTGTGACATCGCCTACTAAAATCTGTATTTTATTTGTTTTTAAATAAATATTATTCGTGTATTTATGTTATGTAATAAAATGTAAAGTTTTATTATTAATCGAGAATTATTAAATGAATTACAAGTTTTTTTGGAAAATCTGAAATTGAAATATAAGTTTGAATAAATAATTTGAATATTTACATATCAAATTAAATATTATAAAACGTGTAAAGTTCACTTTTGGTTTTTCAACGTTTCTCACTTCCAACTTTTTTCGTCCCTCAACTTTGTTTTAATGAATTTGTCATTCATGTTTGTCGTTTGACACCTTGTAATGATTTAGTCCCTCATCCTAACATTCGTCAACTTTATTTTTGCTAAGTCTAATTTAACGAGGGTATAAATATATATACATGTACATATACATACACACACACACACACACTCACTGTCACATAGGGACCAAATCGTCGATGACCACCAGGTAGAGGTTTATTGTTGGACTTTGTGTTTGTGTTTTAGAACCAAGACATGCTCCATGGATGATGAAACAAATAATCGAGATATGATTCCCTCCGTGAATACCAATGAACACCCTCTCCTTGATGAACGCTCACATAGGGACCAAATCGTTGGAGATCTAGTTCCCGACCCTTAATCTCTTTCTCTTTTTGTAAATTGAGAATCCCCACCCTATCCATTTCCCTTTCCCGTCAATGGAGTTCATAGAGATGGATTTCCAAGGTTCACTTTTTCGTCAGTGGCGATGGAGTTCACAGAGATGCAGATCTGCGGTTCACTTTTCCATGGATGGAGTTCACTTTTCTAAAATTTGATTTTGATTTTGAGGTTTGAATTTGGTTTTGATTTTTAGTGTTTTTGGTGTGTGTGTGTGTGTGTGTTATGTTATATGGCAACCAGAGATACAACAGTGACCGGAGAAGACGACGGTTCTGAGTTTTTGGCAGTGACTGGAGAAGTTGGACGATTTTTAGGCGAGGTTGTTGTTGTTTTTTTTTTTTTTTTTTCCAGTTCCTAACTTTGAAGATGACGGTGGTGGTGTGGTGTTTTAAAGAGTAAATTAGATTCCTGGTCCCTATGGATTACAAAAAAGACAAGTTTTTTGTAGAAAATTGTGAAAATGGATAAAATGACCAAAATACCCATCATTTAATTGGACTTAATAGAAAAAGTTAACGACTGTTAGAAGAAGGGACGGAAATCATTGCAATGTGTCAAACGTGAGGGAAAAATCTGTTTAAACAAAGTTGAGAGATGAAAACCATTAAAAATGACAAACCTTAGGGGACCAAAAGCGAACTTTACTCTTATAAACAATTTGTTCAACTCACAATCTATTGTATTTATAGTAGCAATAGAACTTATTGTAACTTTTAGTCATTTAACATTTTTCATGTTTTCAAGATACCCAAGGTGAAAAATGACGTCGGAGGACACTTATCGGTCTTTTTTAATGGTCGTTAACTTCGGGTATCCAAACCAAACCAAAATACAAACAATAACAGTATGTACGAGAATTCTTATTTTAGTAAACCATAGACGAAAGATGTAATCCACTCTTAAATTTTTCTAAAAAATGGTATTCTCAAAGCAATTACATAGTAATAAAATTTAAAAATACGATATATAAATTAAAATAAAAAACAAACTACATGGTTGGTGCATGTGGTTTACACTTTTTTTTTTTTACTGGATTTGGTCATAAAATCAAAACAATTAGGAATTTGAAACGTGTGGTTTGCATTTTGTACTCATTGAGTCTCTCACTCTAATGGAATCAAAAAGATTTCGTTAATCCAATTAAATTTGATGTCATCGTAGTCTTTTTCACCTTTTCGATGACATTTTTTAACTGTTATATCATAGAATAATAATCTATAAAAATATTAAAATAGAGAAAAATGAGATAGAAGTGGGAAAAGATGAAAATACCCCTAACTTAACGAGTTTTTTCAAGAACCATCAAAGAGAGTGATCACATCTGAACGTTTTTACAAGTCGTGATTGCTATATTCCAATTTCAAAACTATAGGGACGAAAAGTGTCATAACTGGCAAACCACAAAGAACAAATTTGTAGTTTACTCTAGCTTTTTTAAATACAAGTTATTTCGAAGGGTCTAAAAAGTGCAAAAATACAAGTGCAGGTGGCAAATCCATAATTATTTAATTTTATGATCAACTTGAATAAGAAATGGAAACCACAAGGACCAAACATGTAACTTAGTCTAGAATATGTATAAAATGGTGTAGTTATCTTGTCGGTATTAAATAATAAAACAGAATAATAATGGAAAGATCTGCACTTTTGGATTGTTTAAATTAAAAACCCCAGCTGTCTAATCATGAGTTCCAGTTGCTACAAATATTAATAATTAAATAAAAGCGGCCAAAGATCCATCAATATTTTATTCGGGAGCCATTTACCAAACATTTATCCGGATAAGTGATTATCAAATAATATTACATCATCGGATAAATATGATAAGGATCAAGAATCTTACGCGGTAAGAGCGAGACAAGAACCAAAAGTCTTACCCGGTAAGGAAGGGCGGCAACTCTTATCACGGTAAGCCCTTACCGGATAAATTGTTGCATACGATGTCGTTTTGGTGAACTAAAATCTTACCCGGTAAGTAAATAGTAGTGTTAAATTTCACCATTAAACACTTACCGGATAAGTGTTTGATAAACGGCTCCTTAATCTAACTCCGACTTATTTTAGGTTCCTCAATAACCATTTGAAAACTTTTTAACAAAATCTCCAAACTCCAGCTATTATATTTTAACAATTCTATCATTAACTATATTAATAATATATTTAATAAAATATTATTTCTCTCTTCTTACATATTTAACTTCAATAAGTTTAATTTGTTAGATATAATTAAAATATTTTTTCTTTATTTTCTATAAAGTTTTAGAGATTTTTTAAACTTAAAGATTTTTACAATATTTTTTTAAACTTAAAGATTTTTACAATATAATTAAAATATTTTTTCTTTATTTTCTATAATGTTTTATTTGGTTTGAAATATCTTTATTATTTAGTGGATGCACCGTGATGATTGTTGCAGCAACAATGTTTGTGGGGGTAGAGGAAGTGGTCGGTTGGTGGTTGACAATGGTAGTAGTGATGGAGACGAACGGTGATGATGGGTGGCTGACGGAGGTTATGGAGGTAACGATGGATGGTAGTGGTTGGTGGTAGACAATGTCGGAGGAGATTGTTGTAGTGAAAAATGAGGTAGATGTAGCCGATGATGGCCGTGGGTAGTGGCGGCTGCTGCTGCTCCAACTGGCAGTAGTGACTATTAAACAAATATTATATTAATGTAATATATCAAACAAGGATAATTTAGTAATATTTTAGTTTATGTCTCATTCTTGTTCCATTTATTTTGGTGGAACAAGAAAAACTCTTTTTGTCTCATCTTGTCTCAGTTCTTGTCTTTATCCCATGTCACACTTGAGACAGTGAGTTCTTGTCATATCTCTTGCCGTACCAAACGTGGGACAATGAGTTTATCCTATCCTATTTTATGTACCAAATACAGCCTAAATATTTTTATTTTCATAATAATTAGATCTTTTCATCTAATGTTGTTTGTTTGAATTCTATCTTGTATAACCTTCACGTAAGGCAAAAATGTATTTTATTACCTCTTATATATATATATATATATATATATATAGAGAGAGAGAGAGAGAGAGAGAGAGTGTTTGGTTCAAATACAACCCATTGTATTTGTACAACCAATGCAACCCAATATATTGAGACATTTATGGAAATAATGAGAGTTCATTTATTATGATTTGAATATTTATGAAAGATGAATATGGTTCATTAATTATGATCGATACTTTATATTGGGAAACAATAAAAACTTCTATAAAATCACATATTAATCAAATGAAATGGACGGTTGAGATTGAGTTGTATTGGTTGCACAAATGTCAAGGGTTGTATAATAACCAACCTCTCTCTTTCTATATATATATATATATATATATATATAGAGAGAGAGAGAGAGAGAGAGAGAGAGAGAGGG